GGGGCCCGCATTTCCACCTGGGAGGTGGGAGGAAGGTGTTCAGCTCCCGCCAACCCCGGACCAGCCCTCGCGAGCACGTGGTGTCCCAAGAGGGGAGGGTGTCAGAGGAAGAACCGCCTCCCTCTCCCGTCGCCTGCCCCGCTGCCTCCGTCACTCGCCCCTGGAAGTCATTTCGTTGCCTCTGTGTTGGTATCTGCCACCTCCCGGGCGGGCCTGTGTGCAGCCTGGCCCTCGCGGTGTTACCCGCGTGGAGACGTTCAACAGGTGCGTCAAGTAAGTGGTGGGCGAATGACCGGCTCAGGACAGGGAGCTGCAAGGGGTTGTTTCTCCTCTCACTGCATGTGTGAGTGACGTCTTCTTAAAGAACTCACGGGGTGCCTCAGGGTGGCCCCGGGGTGGCCCGGAACTCAGGGGTCTCGGTGTCTTTTCCCATCGTAGCTACGGGCTGATGGGGGAAGATGGGGAAAGAGAGCCCAGGGGGTGCTGAGATTCACTTACAAAAGAGGGTGACAGTGTCCAAATGTGGACAGACATGTACGGATGCCACTGAGGAATGAGAGCCATGGAAGAGCCAGCCCAACCGTGAAAGGGCTACAGGTCCCGGCCAGAACCTCAGCCCTGGTTCCTGCTCTTATCTGCCAAGAGACTGGGTCAGCCTGGCTTCCTGAGCTACAGATGAAACTGGACCAAAAGGGAGAAAAATAAAAAAGCTGGGCTATCTCCTTGGGCTATGGAGTCACATAGAGACTGTACAAGGAGCGAGGGCCGAGCCTCCGATGTGCCCATTTCATGGTACAACCAGATGGGAGTGGACGTCCAGGCCCGAGTTCCTGAAGACCATCCCGTGAAAGGAAGGTTCTGCCTTCGGTTGAATGTGGCCGAGGGAGGGCCATGTATTTGTGAGAAGAAAGGGAGCCTGCAGATCTCAAGATCACTGCAGGACCCACTGAATTCCTGGTGGTCGACTCCAGAGGGCCAGTGGGCTTGGCTGGGCGCAGGTTTCTAGGTTTGAAACGCTCCCTGAAGGACCAAGAGGGACGTCTAGGGGTGGAACGAGACCTGGGAAGCCCACCCACGCTCAGGGTTGGGGAGGACCAGAAACACATGGGAGAAAACACAGCGTCCTAAGTGGCCTCTCCTCCCCACGCAAGAAAGACGCTGTGAACAGTCGGGCCCCTGCACCGACGCCCTGAGTGGGTCCCCGGGGGGGTGGAGATGAAGAAAGACTGGTGGACATGTGGCCTGGCTTCCTCTGGGACACTCTGGAGCCCGAGCCCAGGGGGAGACGGGCGGGAAGCTCCCTTGGCCACGCCCCAAGCATCTTCCCCTTAGCACTCAGGATTTATAAACAGAGCGATGACACCCATTACGTCAACCGGATAAAAATGACACCAAGTTCACGGAGATTAGAAAGGTTAAGCCTAGAGGTGGACTTGACCATAGGGCAGAGAGCCCCCCCAAAGCCATTCCCCATCGTCCTGAAGGCTTTAAGGGCCTAGGGGTGGGCGATGACCGGCGGTCAGTACACCGCCCGGGGGCCGTGACAGTGGAAGTTCAGAGGTACTGAAGGGATGAGATGGAGGTGGAAAAAAATTGGGGGGATTGTACCAAACCATATTGCCCTTCCTTTGAGGACCTTTCTTGAGGGAAAAATAAAATAAATAAATAAGCTAAAGAAAACGGAAGGACTGGGCCCTGGACGCTGGGGTGTGACTCTGTGAGGGACGGGGGCTCGCTAATGAGCTCAGACCCAGAAAGCCGCGACGGGAAGGTGCACTGACCACCCGGAGCATCACCACCCCCAAGCTGAGGAGGCAGCCTGGCCACGCTCGGGGCCACCACGGAGCGCACGTGGGCCGGCAGCCCTGGGCCTGACTCGACACTCCCCGGCTTCACTCTGCGGCTGTTACTGCGGGGGGCCGACGGTGCGCGCACTTCATTCACGCTCCCCCTGCAGACGCGATGTTTCCAGGTCACCAGTAAAAAAAATTAAACATCTCACTGCACACACGCGCCCTCCGTCGCCGTGAAATGGCGGCCTGCCCTAGGAGCCTGGCTCTGACACGTGAGCACAGGCTCGGCCTCCCGAGGGGACGTGCAGCCGTTGGCCCGCCCGCTGGCCGCGCCCGCGTCTCCGGGCCCTGCTCTGAGTGTGCCCGGGGGCTGTGTGTGGGGGGTGGGGGGCTGTGCCTTCGGTTTCCTCCCCAGGCGTGGTGTCCAGCGGCACTCTGCGGAGAGCTCAGGCCTGTGGTCTGGGGTCAGGGATGACACGGTGGACACCGAACTGCGGCCCCTGGGGCTCCCGGGCTCCTGCTGTCGGTGCACGTGGGCCCCCGAGCCCCCACCTCTTTCGCCGTCAGTGCCACAGGGCAGAGCCGCAGCTTCCAGAGCCCGGGGAGGCCGCCAGCTTGGGCCTTTCATTCACGTCCGGCTGGGCCCGCCCGAGTCGGGAAGGCCCGGGGCTGACCTGCGGAGAGGGGTGAGCGATGGAGCGGCCCGCGGGGGTCCCAGGAGATGACCAAGGTCAGCGGTGGATGTCTGTGTCCTCTCGACCTGTGCCCAGGCTTCAGGGAAAACCACAAAAGCAAAAGCAAAATAAAAACCACCCAACGTTCCCACCTTGTGAGCAACCTCCCCAGGACAGAGCTCGACGCTACGGTGGCAAAAACAATTCCTTTCCCTCCAGGGGCACCGCTTACGCTCCCAAATTGCAACAGGTGCAGAAGCAGGCTTCCCAAGCACATGACAAGGGGTGTCAGGGGGAGACTGAGCCTGGGGGAGAATAAATATGTCAGCACCCAGCCAGCAAGCGGGAGCGAGGCCGCCTGTCCGGCCAACCGATCTCTAACCTCCTCACCGGATTGGTTCGGACGCCCTCCCGATGGAAGCCAGGTCGCGAGCGGGCCATTTACAGAAGGCCAGCCGTGCCCGTGGGATCGGGGCCCCTAGGGAGACGGGCTCTCTAACGGGGCAGAGACCCTCCGGCGGCCCCGTCTCCTGTAGCGCCCCCTACTGGCAGCAGGACGGGAGCCAGGGGGCTGCGATGGGTGGGCTGTGAGGGCGTCGCCCGCCTGGGATGCAGCGGTGCTTTTAACAGGCCGAGCAGTCGGGATCTATATCGGGGCTCCAGCGCGGGCCCCGTTTCCACCGGGAAGCCACCCGGGGGACCGCAAAGCAAACATGCGGCCCGACGGGAACCAACAAGGACGCTGTGCTTGCTACGGCCCCCCCAGGGTTCAGCCACCCGTGGGCTCAAGAAAGAGCAGGCGGCCCCGTCCGTGGATGGCGGGGAGGAAACGCAGGCCCGCCCGGGCGCGGCTCTCCCGGCGGCAGCCCCGCCCCAGTCGTTCTCCTCTCCAGACACCCCGGGGCCCTCGCCAAGCCCCGAGCTCTGCGCTGACTCACACGCACACGTGGTAAGATATATGCCTTTAATTTCTGGAACTGGAAAATTTCTTTAATTCGATCTACGCTTGTATAACACAAAGATGGCCAGGGTTCTGCCACCCGCCCGGCCCGACCCGACGCTCAGGCCCACGGGGGGCGGCCGGCTACATAAATACGCACATGGCTCTTAGGTAGCATCTTCAAACAGTCAAGTAAAAAAAACGGTAATATTTATGTGTGTGTGTGTATATATATATATATATGTATGTATATAAAACCAGGGCGTTCTTCACCATGGCCCAAGGTGACCAGCCACACGCCTGGCGCCGCTCGCCAAGGATCCAGCAAACACAGGACGTGTCCTCGGAGGGCCTGTCTGCGTGGGACAGGTGGCGAGGAGAGCCCAGGTCACCGGGAGGGACACGCTCACTCGCGGACCGCGCCCCAGCGTATGCATGTGCCTCCGCGTCTGCACTTGTGTCTGGGTGTGTGCGTGCGCGAGCCTGTGTGCGCGCCTGCGAAGTAGAAAACACGAGTTTATTCCGTCTGTACTAAGCGTGTTAAATAAATCAGGTTCGGTAACCGATAACACTTTTTCTTTTTCTTTTTTTAAAAAGGAACATTGAAGATATTCAAAAATCGCTACAGTACAAAAAACGGCGTGTGTGTCCGTGTGGGTTTATATATTTATGTACATTATATATTAACCAGAAATAGCGACTCTACCGGAAGGGATTCCCACCCCTGTTTTCTGAGAGATTTCTACGCGCGGTTCGCTTGGCTCTGGCGGTTGGCCGAGTCTTTCGGGTCCGTACGTGGCACATAATGGTATTATTGGCACAGGTCAGAATCGTGGTGCAAATCCCAGGCTCCGTCCGGGTGCTTCCTGTCTCTGTCGCTCGGTCTCCCGTCCTCGCTGGCTCCGGTCCTTGTCCCCGTCGCTCGGTCTGCCGTCCTCGCTGGCTCCGGTCCTTGTCCCCCTCGCTCGGTCTGCCGTCCTCGCTGGCCTTTCCGCTTCCTGTCCTCCAGAGAGCGCCGGGAGGAGGCAGGCCCCCATAGGCGAGCATCTTTATAAAAATATATTTGGCCTATAGCGTCCTGCTCCGAGTTCCCCACCGGCAAACAGAAGTGGTAGGTGGGGGGACCCTCCCCCTTAGATAGTTTAGTTTTAGGTTTTTATAAGTTTAATTGAATTTTTTTTTTTTTTTTTTT